GGGTGAACTCCCAAAACATCATACGGAGTGAAATAAGCTAATCACAAAAGGACAAACGCTGTATGAAACCACCCATTTGAAATAGGCAAATGTATAGAGAACATATTAGTGGTTACATTGGGAGGGAGGGAGGGCAAGAGAGGGTCTCACTGCCTAGGGGACACTGAGTTTCTGCTAATGGTGGTGGAACAATCTGGAAAAACGGCATGACTTATTCTTAGTAAACCCATTTTACCTTCAAATAATCAGAGTTTTCTTTTCCAGGGTATCCCCAAATATGTAAATAATAATATAACTCACTGGGTATTTGTGCTCAAGTTCACTGGCCTGTGATTGTCAGAATCCACATTTCCCTTCTTTATAAAATCGAAACATTTGCTTGTCCCCAGTCTTTTAGGACCTTTCTGTTCTCTGTGATTTCTACATGTTACCAACAGTGGCTCCACTATCCCTTTCTTTACTGATTACCCTAAGATATATTCACCTGGACCTGGACAATTAAACTCATTAAAGAAATTGGCGGTTTTCCTGCTATTTCCTCATCTAGCCTGGGTTTTTACTTTCTTATAATAATGCTTGGTCCATTCTTGACAACCTGAAGAACACTTCCCCTGATGAGTGAGATAGAAACGTAAGCACTGAGTGTGTATGACTTATTTCTATCATCTGTTAATCTTGCATTACCTATTCCAGGCTCTGGATTTATTCCTTCCTCATTCTGAACATAGCTAAAACAGCGCTTTCATTATCTTATGTGTGACTCACTAACTGACTCAATTAGGGCTCAGCTTTTCCATCCTGCTTTTATAGTTTCGTGTCAAGTTTTAAAATTCTTTCTTCCATTTTCTGCACGAGTCCTTTAAATGTGAGCTCATCTAAGAACACCGCATAAGAATATTGTGAAAGTTAAAAGGCAAAATGAGTGGTGAGCCTGTAGCACAGTCCTGGTACATTGCTTAAGGGCTCCATAACTATTACCTGTACCCCTTGCCATCGAGTCAATTCCAACTCATAGCAACCTAGAGTAGAACTGCCCCGTAGGGTTTCCAAGGCTTAAAATCTTTACAGAAGCAAACTGCCACATCTTTCTCTCGCGGAGTGGCTAGTGGATTCAAATCACCAACCTTTCAGTTAGCAGCCAAGTGCTTAACCACTGTGCTACCAGGGCTCCTCCATAACTATTATTCATTATTTTTCGAGGCACCTCCTTTCCCCTTGTTCATTATTAGACCCAGAATTCTAGTTTCTCGGCTCTCCCATGTCTCTTAGCAGGCCTCAGACCACTACTCTGAACCTTTTGACATCACCTATTCCTAGGTTAGGAGCCCTGGTGGTGCAATGGTTAAGTGCTTGGTAGCTAACTGAAAGGTCAGAGGTTCAAATCCTCCTCTGTAGAAAACACCTGGCAATCTGCTTCTGTAAAGATTACAGCCTAGGAAACCCTATGAGGCAGTTCTACTCAGACCTATAAGGTTGCTATGAGTTGGAATCGACTTGCTGGCACACGGTAACAACACTAACATTTCTAGTCTGAGGAGCTTGATTCCCCAGTCATTACCGAAAATTCCCAGGGTTCCCTTCATATCCACAGCACCAAGTTGCTCTTCAATGGCAATCAAATTAAGACTAAAGGCGCAGTTTTCCTGGTTGTTTCCTTTTTCTGAAAGGTGAAGCTGTCATCAAAGCAAGTCGAGAGTTGACCAAATCATTATCTTTGGCATACAACTGCCTAAATGGTAGACATCTCCTATCAATAGTATATAATAAAAGAACCTGAAATTTTTATTGAGCTTCATAGTCTAAAAAATGCGACGTATCTAATGTAATTCAGTTCTCACAATAAACCTGTGAAGCAGCCAGCTATCAGCATTGCCACTTAGAGATGGTGAAACAGAGTCAAAGACAGATTCAGAGACGTATTCTTGGTGACACAGTAAGTTTTTTTGCTGTAACTCAAACTCAGGCTACAAACTGGAAAGTTACCTCTACCCCAGGTGCAATAAAAGCATCAACCATGTCTTCTATCCAGTCAGGTAGTTTGTGAGGAACGCTTATTTCTAGCAGGATTATACCATCTGTATTACTATTAATAATCTGATAAAGAATTTCTCTTATTAAGTCCTCAGCTGAATGGTCTTCAAAATTCATTCAAAAATCTTTTTTGAACATCTATATGTGCCAGGCATTATACTTCCAGCATTTCTGTAATTGAGTGTCTTCTTTAACAAGCAAGGCTACTCTTCTCAGCCTCCATTTATTCTGTTCAGTTTGTTCACAAGCCATTTCTATGGACAAGGCACTGTGTTACATGCTGCAGTAGGTACAAAGGTGAGTTAAGATATGTTCAGTCCCTGACTTAACAGAGCTTACAATCTACTGGAGAGAAGACCCAGAAGTAAACTAAGATTAGTGCCTTCCTTGAGAGGTACAAAGACAGATAAGGAAAGATTCTTAAAGGAGTTTGAGGCATGTCTTGAATGTGCAGGATTTTGGTATCTAGAGATTGTGTAGAGCATCTACCGAGGGGAGCAGATGGTCAGAGCAAAAGGGTGGAAGAGGAGGGACAGCACAGATGGGTCCAGGAAATGATAGACAATCTATCTAGCTGAAGCACAGGCTGCATGGAGGGTGGGGAAGAGGGATAAATTGGAAAGGTTGGGTCATACAGTGGAAAGCCCTGAACGCTCACCTGAGGCATTTGTGCCTTATTCAGTTTGGAACTGGTAGTCACCAGAGGTCTCTGAGGGCGGGTGTGACTTGATCTAAGTTGTGCTTTGGGAATGGTAATAAGACAGTCATGGACGGAGTGACTTGGAGAGGATGAAAGTAGAAGCAGAGGCAAACACATTCTTTGTAGTCTTCAGGAGCTACACTTTACTTGGTTCCAAGAACTCACCTAGGGCAGACAACCAAATCCTGCTCTTTGAGATTTTCTGTGTAGTCACCCTCCTTCCCCTGCCAAATCATGGCCTTTAATGGAGGGAAGGATGCTTTCTATTTCCTATTCAAGTGTTTTAAGTCAGCAGAGATACATCTTGATTTCTTCTGGCTGTTTCACTGTTTCCCATGTAAATCAAGAGAAGAGGAGATTAGCTAAACCTTGGCAGGTTGAATAATGTCTGGAGCTCAGCCTCCAGAAAGATAATCCTCCCTACACCCTCCATAAATTATATCAGGCCTGCATGGCCACCACTGAATACCTCAACAGGGAGTCACAACCACATGCCAGATATTTTCCTTGGATGTAATGGAGCCAATGGCTTCTCCTTATTATTTGCTATGGCAAATCTTCGTACTTTCCTTGTCGCTCCAGTGAAATTTCTTCTCTGCTCCACATTCTTCAGCTCTCCAAGTGCTAATACTAGTATGTAGTCCTGTTTCTTTTTGGAGAATTTTCATTTCTGGATTCTTTTAGGACTCTTCATGTTTTCTAAGAGTTGTTTATGTTCTCTAATAGGCTGGAGGATGGAGAGGTGTTCATCAACCCTTCCACATTCTCCTCTAACAGGGAGATCAGCTGGTATTTACAGCTAAGTCACATGACTGGTGATTCTTCAGAGGAAACACCCTCACAGCTTCCTTCCCTACACACTTACCCGCCCATCTATCTGGTGTGGCTCCTGCTTATATAAAGTAGACAAAACAGAAAGCATCAGTTCAGGGGAAGATGCTTCCTGTGTTTCCAGGCAATGTAAACATCCCACAATGTATCAAACGGTACCAACCAATTTAGAAATAAGGGGTGAGATTCAGTGAGGGTGGAAAGCTAGGAGCAGAGAAATAGAGTTTAGTGAGAAGCTTCTGATATTTGGATGAATAATAGTGATTTTACAGATCACAGACCAAGTAGCAAGGTAGTTATAAGAAGAGCAGTTCCTTCAATAGATGTGAGCTAAAATGGAGTTGTCTCATTTGAGGTGGAGAGATGGACTAAACTACCTCCCATCATAGCTGAAGATGGGGAAAGGGGGGCAGGAACGGTGGAACCATCTGCTGACCCTGTCCACAGACTCTGTTCATTATGTGAGCCTCATCGCAGCCTGCTTCACGGAGGCTGTGAGGAACAAACAAAGAAGTCAGGTTTGGGAGTGGGGTGGGAGGAGGGAAGGTAGAGGCTAGAACTAGACATAAAAGAAGGGGTTAAAGCCCCATTCCTCCTCCACTTCAAGTCTTGCTTTTAACTCTATAGTTCTATGAAGGTTAAGAATTAGGACTTTCTTTCCGCTCCTAATACCTGCAGATTTAAGTGTTCCATCACAATTAGATTGAAGAGAGAGTATGAAACACTCAGAATGTCTACTTTGTGAAGTAAACTGCAATAAATATAAAATCTAGCCAGAGGGACCTGTCTTCCTATTTTTATTAAATGCATGAGGCAGCACAAACACATATCTGTCACATTCCTCAATAAGTAGGAACAGGTGTTGTCCCCAGGGCACGAGTGGAGGGAAGGAGATGAAAAAAACTGGGAGTCATTTCTTAATGCTTATAGTATTTCATTCTGGCAGTAAAAACAGATGACAACACAGGGATCAAACACGTGACAGAGGTGGGTAAATTGGCATGAATCAGGTAGGAAAGAGAGGGGTTCACTTTGCTCTACTGGTTGAGGTATGTTCTCTTCGTTAAGGCCAGGAAGATGCTTGCAGAGCTAGGAGATATGTCTTTTAAGTGAGATGCTCCCAAGGGAACGTAAGAATGTTGTAGGTGGCCTAATTGTCCTGGGTCCTGTCCTTTCCAGAACTGGGTCCAGAATAACATGAAGGTGGGACAATGTCAAGGGCATCTGGGCCACAAACAATTATTTATTCCTTTTCCCAACGTTACCCCACTCCTTATTATAAGTAACTTTACAATGAGAAGCATTTAGTCTTGAAAACTGAAATGAACGATGGGTGAGAGTAAAATTGTACAAGGAAGCCACTTAATGAAAGTAGACCCCAAATCTTGGAATATGAAAAGGCAATTTTCAAGACAATGATTTTTGTAAATTTGCTTACCTTTGTTTAAACGTCCCATCACAGTAAATTCAAAATATTTGCTGTTGTCAGTTGAAGAGTAAAGGCCAAAGATGGTGGCTGTGCTTTTAGTCTGCAGCTTGAAGGTGGAGATTACGTAGATCTCATTCAGGGTGGGGTCTGTCAGGATTGGCTGCAGAATGCCTGGGTTCAGCCTTTGGCTGGAGGAGGGTAGAAGGTCAAAGACTGGGGGGGATGAGGAGAAAGGGATAATTAGTTAAAGATTTAACTTTGGGGCAAACATGTTTTATGGGAGGACAATCTGACAACTACAGATAAAGGAATGTAAATTAATTTTGTAATCATTTTCCACATTGCCAAACACACCAGTTCTTGCTTATCCTTCTTATACTGGCTAGACATTTGAACCAGAAGAAATACAGCACAATATTCACCACTGAGTTATGGCCCTCAAAAAAGGCCCTCAAAAAATTTGCAAACACAACACTGGATTTGGCTGAAGAAATAGCTCTGAAAATACCCACTAGGAAAAGCACAAAAGGCTTAAAATACAAGGGGACAGGTGAGAGCATCTAAAGTCATTGTTTTCCTTGTGTCCCCAGCTAGTGAATTTCTTGGGGTCCCTTATACACTTCTGGGGCCACAGGCAACTGTATTTTCCTGGTAAGTGATAAATGACGCAGAGACTGCTGCAGAAAGCATAGATGTGGGGGGGAGATACTGTCAGCAAAATTATTTGCTACCTTTGTGCTACCTCAGTGTTCTCCAATATCTCTCTAATAAAAAATACAAACATGGAGATAAAAAACAAAACACTGGTTTATATTTTCAGACTCTACCCTGACTGATAGAGTTGGTCTATGAAAACTAGAATCTACATTTGTATAACTTCCCTTTGATTAAGCAAGCAGGACTCTCTCTCAAAAGCTTTATAATATTTATGAAAGCCGTGAGAGAGTACACTCAGAGCCATTTAAAAGGCAAAGGTCAAATGCGGGTAATTTCATTAGAAATTACTTAGCATTTCTAATAGTTTATTTGAATGTTGTTTGAACAAATCCAATATCCTGCAGGCACTTCAGCACCTAGAGCTGTCTCCTGGATACAATAATCTGGTTACTAAAAAAACCAAACAAACAAAAAACAAATCCATTGCTGTCAGGTCGATTTGGGCTCACAGCAGCCCTACAGGACACGGCAGAACTGCCTCCAAGGCTGTAAATCTTTATGGAAGCAGACTGCCACATCTTTTTACTGTGGAGCACCTGGTGGGTTCCAGCTGCCAACCTTTGATTAGCAGCCCAGCAGTTTAACCACTATGCCACCATGGCTTCTTCAATCTAGTTTCTAAAAGGTTAATATCCATAATTTCTGAAGAGCTGTTACAAATCAATAAAATGATAAACATTCTAATCAAAAAATAGGCAACAAACATGAAAAGGCAAATCACAAGAAGAGAATTACAAATGGCCAGTAAGTACATAAATAAATGCTCATATGCTTAACTAATGATGAAAGAATTGCTAATTAAAACAGTAAGATCTTATTTTCACCCTTAAACTGGAAAACAATAAAATGGTAACACCCCATTCTTGGTGAGGGTGCAGGAAAGTGAACATTCTTGTATACTTCTGGGTGTGATTTCAACTAGTATAAACATTTTGAAGACAGTTTAAATAACGGTATCAAAGACCCTAAAATATGCATGCTCCTTTAAAAAAATTTATGCACCCTCTCTGTTCTAACGATCCCACTTACAGAAATCTATCCTAACAAAATAATGAATAAATACGGTAAATTTTTTAGATACAAGGATACTGACCACCAGTGGTCATTCTAGAATTTCTATATAGAAAGGACTTACGTGAAGCACTCTAATTGGAAGGGGTGGGAAACCTGAAGCTCTGTTAGCACAGCACTTTACTATGAAGACATAAACTGCCCTTGCAATGAAAGAAGGGCTTGACAGAGATTACGGGGATCACTAAAGCTACCCCAAGGCATCCCGGGACACTGCAATTATTTAATAAAATGTTATTTACAATATCAACATATGAGAAACAATTATATTATTTCCTATATTAGAGCCCTGGCTAAAATGTTTGTCCTTCCAAAACGTGGAATACTGTCTATGAAAAAGGGTAATGCAGGTGAATGCTTACAGATATAGAAAGGTGTTCATGATGAATTAAGCAAAAAAAAAAAAAAAAAGATTATAAAATGATATGTATAACATGAACCCACTTGAAATAAATATTTGCATAGAAAAATGTTATGCTGAGTGAAATAAGTCAATCACAAAAGGACAAATATTGTATGAGACCACTATCATAAAAACTCAAGAAAAAGTTTACACGCAGAAGAAAACTTTAATGGTTACGAGGCAGGGAAAGGATGGGGAGGGAAAATCACTAAATAGATAGTAGACAAGTGTCAACTTTGGTGAAGGCAAAGATAACACACAATATGGGGGAAGTCAGCACAACTTTAAAAAGAAAAAATGAAAAAAAAAGGTTTGAAAGACTATACAACATAATGTTAATATTAATAGTGCCTATCTCTGAGTTATATAATCTTAAGTTTGTTTTTTCCTTATCCTATGTTCTGTTCTTTTCTTCAGTGAGCAAGTATTGCTTTTGTAATAAGAAAAAATGAATAAAAGTTAGAAAACAAACAGGTAAAACAGTTTCTCAGTAATGTCTACAGTGTTTAAAAGACAACCTGCCTTCAAACTGGATCTATATTGTTTCTTTCACATGCACCAGAGGACCTTTCACAGATAATGAAATTAATACTAGAAGTGTTGGGAAGCAGAATATCTAATCTGTTCCTTATAGCACTCCACACCCCCCAAACATGAAGACTGCTGCCTACTGTATTTCAAAAGGAAAATTAAAAATTGAAATTTCCAGAGAGTTGGAAACTTCACATTTCTACCAGTAAGGGGAAAGGGAAATAAAGCAATACATTGGAAAGCGTCACTTAGGACAAAGCATTTGCAGAGAAGAGATGTGTGTTTATGGTATGGGAATTGCATTCAAAACTAACCTCTTGGAATTCTTGATTCTTGTTTTGACTATGATCATGCCAATAATTTCGCTCAAGCTAAAATTGCCACACTTAAATCTGTGCAGATGGTCTGATCCGATTCTCTCTCAAGAAGCAGGGTTGGGATTAGTTAGTAATGAGTTTAGAGAGTGTTTTGAAAAGGAAATGAGGCACTATAATTTTCTATTAATGTTATTACATTTTGGGAATAGCACCAGGGTCTAAGTACAATCTTCTAGTGTTAGAAGTGAAATTACCGCTACCCATGAACCCAACTACCATGGTATGTAAATGATATACGCACTAATTTAAGACTCTAGCAATGCAGCTCAGAGGAAAAAAAGGAAATAAGCAAATTACCCAGTTAAGCTGATGACTGCAAACTAGATAACTCAATAAAAGTATCAAGCAGAAACTTGACTTAATCAGATCATCTACAGTAACTAAATTAACCAGATAATTTAGGTTGTATAGCCTGTGTTCAAGTTTCCATAAAACAGTCAGGAAGCTTTGTCTAAGGAGAAATGGGAATCCATACCCAAGGCACACCATGAAGTTGTATGTTTAAATGTCAAGAATTTATGTAACACAAATATTATACTCATGGGTTCAAGCATGCCAAATAATCACTGCAGTAAGCTTCCTTTCTTACCTTGCTAGAAGCACACATCACAATGAATAAATATTACAGACCACAGCATTTCAAATATTTTAACCCAAACCAAAAGCTAGCAAACGGCACCCTCTGAAACCACAATTCTGGTTGCCTGGTATGGAATCAAGATAAGTAATTTGGTGAAATGCAGTTTAAATGGGTGATGACTGAAATGCTGAGAGGTAAAGAGAGTTCAGAGCGCCCTCCCAAGCATTCCTCACAAAGCTTCCACTGGGTATTTGCGGTGAAGAACCACTTTTACTTCAAGTGCCGTATCTTTTCCAGTTTTACTTTCTCAGTCAGTAATAAACCATTCCGGGCACCAGTTTCAAACAGATGAAGGTCACTGTGCTGGACAGCCAGTTAAAGTCCTAAGAATTCCTTGCTTAAATCATTTCTTCCTTTCAGTCTTTACAAAAAAAATTCTGTTTAACCTTAAATGCTTCCTGCCCAATAGCTATTTCCACCTCATCTCACAAAGAGGTTTGAGGATTGATTATCCAGATGTCTTTTCAAAGTAGTTACCGAATTTTTATCTTTTCATAGCAAAAGATTGACTTCTCTGCCCATCCTTTTTCTATTTAATCTCAATAACCAAGGGATTAAGCCAACTCCTGAAACAGAGTTTCCTTTTTAGGGTTCAACCAAAGTCAGAGCAGAAAAGGACAGGTATCGGGGCAAACAGTAATGCTGGGCCTTCCTCAGGGGTGTCGGTCTCAACCTGGGTGAACGCTGCCCCTGTGCTGTTCGAAGGATTTAGGTCAAGGGCCAAGTGGAGGGCCAGAAAAGGCCTCAGGGGATGGAAACCGGTCTTCCTGCAGAACCCAGATGTCACCCTACACCACACAGGACGTTTTAAAGGTTTAGGGTCATGTGGTAGTCTTGAAGTAAACCCCACTTCTTTGCAGAGACTGAAAATAAGTTTTGCATCCCCACAAATATCGTTTTGGGACTTGGTCTCATCACTGGATAATCGATTTCAGAAAGTTCCATACTTGAGTCACCGCTTCCAACCACAATATGCTTTGACTCGGGACCCACGGGCATACCAGGGGTCCCAAGCAAGGCCCCAGGAGCAACGGGTCGAGCAGTGCGCGCCAAGTTGGTCTCTCCACTGGCCCAAGCGGAGGGCGGGATCGCGGGCTCCGCAGACTGCGCGACCTTGTGCCTGTCGCCCCCATGCGGGGCCCGAGCCCACTTACCCTGGGGGGTGGCTTGGGCGTCGGCCCCCAGCCACGGCTGCAGGACCAGGTGCAGCAGGAGGAAGGCAGCTCCGTGCCGGGCCAACATGTTGGCTCTTCCTGATTCCCGCGGGGGGCCAGCGGGTGACAGCAGCAGAGGCCCTGCCTCAGTGTCCTGGAGCGGTGCCCTGCCCCTCGGTCCCGGCTTTCTGCCGGAGGCGCAGAAGGTTGCGCGTCGCGGGGCGCCGGGCGCGGGGCAGAAGACGGGGTGTGGGGTTGCCGTCTGGGGCGCCTCCTGGCCGGCCGACGCGGAGCTACGGGCGCTCTCCGCTGGCCTCGGCGGCGCGGCCCGGCTCTTTATGGTCCGCCCGGCCCCGTGGGCGGGGGAGGACAGACGCCGGGGCGGCCCCCTTGGCGGGGATCCCCTTTCCCCGGGAAGAGTGGGGGCGACCGGAGAGCGGAGCATGGGCGGCGGAGAGAAAGGCGTCGGTGTGGGGATGGGCATGAGACGGGCTGGACCGAGTCCCGGGCTGGGGACAGACGCCAGTCCAGACAGACTAGCGAGGGGCTTTAGGAGGGTGAGAAGAGCGAGGATAGGCAGTAGGGCGCTGGTGAGAAAGTGAGGACTAGGCAGAGGCACCCAAGGGGGACAGGGTAGAGATGAAGGGGAAGAAAGGAGAGGAACGGAGAAAGTGGACATTGACCCACTAGCTTGGGTCCCCATCAGTAGCGTCCCTAGGGGGTTGACGGGGAGAGGACCGCACCAGGTGATACTGTCGATTCCGACTCATAGCGACCCTATAGGACAGAGTAGAACTGCGCGTAGGGTTTCCAAGGAGCCGCTGGTGGATTCAGAACTGGCGACCTTTTGGTTAGCAGCCAAGCTCTTAACCACTGCACCACCAAGGCTCCTCAGTATACCTACAAGGCTAAAACTCTATGCTAATTTACCTTTTTAATCTACAGCGACGAGTTTGGTTTGATTTTTTTTTTAATGCACTCTGGCCGGAGCTGTCATTATTACCCAAAGATACTGAATCCCGTGATTTTGGCTGCACAAGCGTGTTGCTGCCAGTTATTTTATTTTATTTGATTGTGTTTTTGGTGGAAGTTTACACAGGAAATTAGGTTTTCATTTAACAATTTATATACATATTATTCAGTGACATTGGTTACATTCTTCACAATGTTATCAGCATTGTCGTTATTTCTGTTTTGGGTTTTCTATTTCCATTAATCTAGGTTCCCTGTCCCCCCTTAGTCTTCTCATCTTTGGTCTAGGGTAAATGTTAACCACTTGGTTTCATCTAGATAATTATTTGAGGAGCACAGTACTCATGGTGATATTATTCATTTTATGGGCCAATCTATCATTTCTGCTAGTGTTTTTATAGTGGCTGATTTTGTCAAATTTTCTGGTGTTTTAGCAACAATATTGTGGTAATTAGTATGAGGGGTGAAACTATGAGTTACCGCACTGGGTGACACCAACCCTAGTGACGGGACTGTCCCCGTCAGCCCTCCTACTTTTTGTACTTCTTTTGTTTTCTAAAAAGAAGATCAGCATTTGGTCAGGCTTTGAAGGCACATCTTGGGTTCTCTTCTGAGCAAACCCTGAAGGCTCTCCAGGAGCATACTTCCTCCTAAACACTTGCTAAACACTAAGATGAACTCACCATCTTATCTTCTTCCCAAACTATGTTGTGACATCTAATTTCTACTAGGATGGATAGATAGATAGATAGATAGATGATAGATAAATAGCTGCTACTGAGTTGACTCCGACTCATGGTGACTTTATGGACAACAGAACCAAGCATTGCCAGATCCTGCATCATCCTCACAATGGCAGGTATGTTGGAGTTCATCATTGCAGCTATTGTGCCAATCCATTTCACCGAGGGTCTCTCTTGCTCTCGCTGACCCTCTACTTCACCAAATGTGATGTACTCCTTCAGCGACTGAGCCCTCCTGATGGCGTGCCTGATGCAGCAAGTTGGACAATATTCTGTTGTGATTCATAAGATTTTCACTGGCTAATTTTCAGAAGTAAATCACCAGGCCTTTCTTCCTAGTCTGTCTTAGTCTGGAAGCTCTGCTGAAACCTGTTCACCAAGGATGACCCTGCTGGTATTTGAAATACAAGTGGCATAGCTTTCAGCATTGTAGCAACACGCAAGCCTCCACAGTACAAAAAAGTGCGTACGGGTGGTGGCTAGGATAAACTACCGATTAGGATTACATTCTACAGCTGAAGACCTGGAGACTTTTGCGTTCTCTCCAGAGCCAGCTTCTATCTGAGATCTAAATATGTCTAACCTTGGCTTTATTTCATCGCATTACACTAAATTGCCTGTATGAAATGGATCACCCTATGTTTATGAGAGAGCTCTGAAGAGAAACACAGAGTTTACATGTTTCTAAGCAATGTGACTGTAAACTAATGGGATGGACTAGACTTGTGAATCTTCAAGTTCTCAAACCGTGTCCCCAGAATGGCCTGGGTGGGAGGCGGTTCCAGGCTCCCAACCTCTGCTTCAAGCAGAGCAACTTTGCTTTTTTATGCTTTATACAGTGGTTGTCAGAGTGAGATTTTCGTTGAAGAGAGTGATGTGAAAAATTTTGAGAACCACCGTTCAGTGACTCTTAACTGATTGGGTGTATCAGAATCTCCCGGAGAGCTTACAAAATATACATTAGGTGCTTATGGGGAACAAATTAAACCAAGCAGCAAAAGGAAAAATTAGCATATTGTACTGCACCACAGCCTACTCTGACACAAACAATAGGACTGCTGTTCAAATGAGCAAGCCTGGGAGATGCTTGTTGTGTGAGTTCTGATGTAAATGAAGATTGTGTTGTGTGCCAGACTTTGCCTGTTCCCTCTCTGATCTGGTCTTACCCCTCCTCTACTCACTTACCAGCAGGGTGGGTAAAGCCAATGGGTAAGTGGAGAGCAATAAGAGGGTAGAAACCTCCCTTTCTGGCATGAATGGATACCCTTCCAGCCATGGGAATGGAGGTGGCTTCTTGCAGATGCTAAAATCTGGATTGCTTCACTGTTTCCTGTGGGTCCTCTTGGTTCTTCTATCACCTATGTAACCATGTCCTTGCATTAATTCCCTCTGTTTAAAATACCTAGAGTGGTTTCAGTTTTCCTGATACATAAATGCAGGACTAAGCTGTACATTATTTGAAACATTTTTTAGTTATCTTTGTGTCTTCAATTCCTGTCAAATTTCCAGCAGAATAGCTTGTACATATAGGCACAGTAAATTTTAGTTGCACTGGACTGACTGCTAAGTGTAATGGAGCAACAAAAGAAGCCAGTTACTTTCTGCCAGTGTAACAGAATTTATAATCCAGTTTTGCTTCCAGAAAGCCTGCATTGTTATGAAGCCAATCACAGAGTCTCAGTCAGCTTTCTCTTCATGTCCTCAGAATCAAGAGGAAATTTGATTATAACAAAATTCGTTAAATTGGCTATGAAATCTATGGTAAAGGAGGCTAGAGGGTTAATCAGTCTCTTTTCTGTGCTGCCTATTATTAAAATATCTGTTGTTGCACCTACCACACTGAATTTTAACAGATTTATTTTAATAGGTTATTGATTTACTTTTCCAGTATCAGACCGTGAGCTCCTTAGGACTATCTCATTTATTTTTGTAGCCCAATTCCAAGTACAGTGCCTAGCACTTAGAGTTCATTAAATTGAATTGACTTTCCTTCTCGAATTTCTGTAAACTAGGATAAAAGTGGTTGTGATATGTTATTCTACTCTGCCCTTTAGGGTTGCTATGAGTCAAAATTGACTTGACAGCAGCGGGTTTGGTTTTTGGTTTGGATATGTTATTAATCCACTTATAGTTATGGTAGATTGCGAAAGTGGCCCCAATTCTTCATTCCTCTATATACACATCTTTTCCCTTCCCACTGTGACTCTTGAATTGCCATGTAACTTGCTTAGCCAATAGCATTTTAACAGAAGTGCCACAAACAGAAGTTTAAAAAGTGTTTGTGTGATTGGGCTTGCTTACTCGTGCACCTCTGCCTTTGCCATGATAACACACCTGTGCTAGCCTGTTAGAGGATGAGAGACATGGAACAGAACTGTCACAACAGTCACTGTCAGCAAAGCCAGCTGAAATCAGCCGGCATCTGACTCAGACAGGTGAGCAAGCCTGAGCAAGATCAGCACAGCTGTCTAGCTGACTCCAGACATGTGAGCAATGAATATTTCTCTTCATATGCCATTGAAGTTTGGGGCTTGTTTGTTATGTAACATTATTGTAGAAATAGATCACTGATACATTAAGTTTCCTATCTTTTCTAACTGTTGTAAGTAATAAAGTGTGTGACTTCATTTGTGTTGTTTGACTGCTGACAGCTTTCAAGTCCCACCACACCCTTTCCCTTTCTGCTCCATATCAGGCCAAGCTGAAAAGAAAGCCTGTTGTTATTAGGTACCGTTGAGTTGCTTCTGACTCATAATGACCCCATGTACAACAAAAAGAAACACTACCAGGTCCCGTGCCATCCTCATGATTGTTGTTATGCTTGAGCCCATTGTTGCAAGAAAGGCTGGTAACTCCTTTATTTGTTTCTTGCAGGACCATGCAAACCCAAGCCCATGAGTGGGAATTCTTACTCCACCTTCACTCCTAAAACCCAAACCAAACCCATTGCCATCGAGTTAATTCAGACCCTTAGTGACCCTGAAATCACCATGAAAACTCAAAGTTACTCTCTTTTCCCTTCTAACTTAAGCCATTTTCAGATGAGCTTGGAAGTCTGTCCTGCTCTCCCCAGAAAACCTCATTACATGAGTAATAAGCCTTTTTAAAACCTCTTGGAGCATGTGTGACATCATCAGCTGATGATAAGTTTTGGATGTAGGGTGTCCATCCTACTCCAAGAGGGTGACTGTTCTTTGGAGGTGGGCGAAGTTACTCATATTATGTACTGCTATTTGACGCAACTAAGTAGAAGTTTCATATGTGATTTTTAATTGATATATGCATAAGGTTTTCCACTTGAATTCTTGGAAGGGAATAGTAATGGAATATAATTGTTAACATTAAAAGATGATTTAAAGGGAATATGGTTTACATCCTTACGAATGATGACAATTATACCATAGCACTGGGAAATGTGGTTTGGA